TGAACAATGTGGGGTTTGGATGGATGGTGCTGTTAGACCACTAAATGGTGTCTGGATCAAAGGCTGTGAGTCAAAACTTCCCGAGGTATCCCAGAGGTTTGGAAGGTCCTGGCTTTGGGCCTTCGCCGGGACCAAAAGGCTTTTAGGTTTCTGTGTGATGTGAGGCAGTGCAGGGATGTGCCCTGGGCTCCCAGAGGAGAAAGAGAGGCGGTTCTGGACTGACCCCACAACTGGCAAGTGGACATGGCTGGAACAGAGCAACCAATATCCTGCAGGGGAGTAATTAAAAATCTTATCAATGTGAGCAGACAATTTTGAAGTGTTCCTGGAGGAGCAGTCTCTTTGTCAGGAACTGTAGTGATAGGAAGAGGAGGAATGGGCTCAAACTGAGAGAGGGGAAATTTAGGTTGGATATACAGAAGAAATTCTTCCCTGTGAGGGTGGGGAGGCCCTGGTACAGGTTGCCCAGAGAAGCTGTGGCTGCCCCATCCCTGGAAGTGTCCAAGGCCAGGTTGGATGGGGCTTAGAGCAACCTGGGCTAGTGGAAGGTGTCCCTGCCCAATTTAGGGGGTGAAACTGGATGAGCTTTAAGATCCTTTCCAACCCAAACCATTCCGTGATTCTCTGATTTTCATTGAAGTACACTGTGACCTCCAACCTTCTGCAGAAGAACTGTGATGATTCTTAAAATATGAAAAAAAAAAAAGGGTTATACAGACCTGTGGAATTGACAGAGGCTGTAGTGAGACATATAATTTGTTTTTCAATCTGCAGTCATATACAATTTCTAGTCTTTGATTTGAGCAAAATGTATAGCTTCTTGTCAAGGCAGTCATTAAATGTCGCTGTTTATTCAGCTTTGCACCATTTTTCCCCCATATTATCTGTACAACAGAGTTGTATTTCATTCATTCATTATCATTGTTTATCAGTAACTGCAGCCTAAAATGTGTCAGTTCTAGTTACTGCCCTTTATTTTACCAAGGCATCTCAATTTGTGTGTACTTGTGCAATGACCTACAACAAAGTCCTGTAAAAAAGGACACGAAAGCCATGAAGTTCTATGGTTAAACTTGCTGAATGTGCTGGAGTTATCCAGGATGTCAAACGAAATCCAGCATGGAGATCCCTGTCTTCCTTACCTTCTTCTGGAAGTTTTAAAAATCCTGAATTGCATGAGTTTCCCAGGCTTTGTCTGGCACTGCTGTGAATGGACACCCTGTAATTGCAGTGTCTGAGAGCAGCAGGTGAAGTTCAACCCAGAGAAGCTTTCCAGCAAGGTTTAATCCAATTAGAGGTCTGACCTACCCATGCATTTGACACCAGCACAGGCTGTTCCAGAGCTGTGCCTCGGGCTGGCCTTGGAGGTCTCTCAGATGGCCAGAGTGACACCTGCCCAACTTCCTGCTGTGCTGGGCTGGTACAAACCTCCCCCTGACCCACCTGCTCACTTGTGCATGGACTTAAACTCTTTGCTGTCACCTCTGAAATCTCTGCCTGTGGCTGTCGGAGAGGTCACTGTGCCCTCAGCCCAGGGGATGCTGACAGTGATGGCTGGTGCACTACTGCACTGCTCAAAGAGACAGAACTTACTCCATGAAGTAAGTAAACCTTTAGGTAGAGCTAATTCTGCACAGCACAACGTGATTACTTCCACTGGAGCCTTTTTGAAAGATTATGACGTTTTCAAGCTGTTGTGTAAGTGCCAACAGAGATGTGTTTCTACTCAATGTGTCCCCAGTTTGGAATTTCAAAGAATAGCTGTAGTTGTAACCACGCTGAGTTTCTATATATTCATTGAAAGAAAAATCACTTCATAAATATTGGATTTAGCTGCTACCTGCAGCACACTTTGTATGTGATGGTGATCTAGAAATAAACTGATAGAACTAAGGTGTTTATCAGTGGTGGTATTCATGAGAATTTCAAGGCACATAAATAATGAATAGAAATGTCACTTACTCAGCTTCAGACCTAAGAACAGTCTCCTCATTATTCTATTGACTCAGTGAGAGGGAAGAGCTCTGTGAGGGAAGAAAATGGAAAACTAAAGACCATCAAAGCATTTCAGAAGCATCCTGAACTCCCCAGTAGTACCAATTTAGGGATGGAGAGCCCAGGAGAGGAACAGTAGTGCTTAAGAGGTTATTTAGAAGTGTTATCACAGCACTTGTGTTGACGTGGTTTAAAATTAGGCTTTGTCTGGTTTGAAGTTAGACCTGTCAGTTTTCACTAGCTCTGCTTGTTAAGGACCAGATCTCAGACCACAGAACATGCACCAGGGTGGTCAGTGAATGCAGAAGGTTTCAGGGCTGCTCTCTATTGACCTTGGGCCTTTTCTTATTTTGCAAGAAACTAGGATTTCTAAAGGGTGCAATTGTTGTGGGCCTGTGCCTGACCAGTGCATAATTCATTAGTGTGTGTCTGTTTTAAAAACTAGAGGCACAAATGAGTTGACTGTTAATTTTAATACTGCTGTGGTTAACACTGCATTTGAGACCAAGCTTCTTAAATATTTGTTTTGATATTAATGCAAGAAATGAGAAAGGGAAAACAGGTGTTCCAAGGAGAAAGGTGTTTTTGTTTAAGCATTAGGAATGAGGTGGGCAGTGGGAAGTGGTTTCCTTTTCCTGTAGTAGCTGCTGAGGGCAGGTTGATGTCACCACATCTGAAAATCAGGGGAGAGGGGTTAGACAAGAAGAGGAATAGTGTGGGATGGGCCAGGAAAGAATGAAGGATTAAGCTGATGGACTTCAGGAATTGCTGAATTAAGAAACAGCTTTAAGAAGAGAAAATCTTGTTTCTCACTTGCAAAAACCTGTCCTCCTACCAAAACCTGCCTTACTCTGTCTCTGCAGTGGTGCCCAGGCTCCTGAAGAGATGCCCATGACTGTTATCCCATGGGATTGCTTCTCTGGAGCCTGGGCTTGATGTGCTGCATAACAACCAACCAGTCAGTTAATAACCAGAAGTGTTGCCTGTTCTGGGAGATGAGACTAAACCCTGGGTGTACGTTTTGTGTATCAAAGCACAACGTGAATTTTGTTCTGATTTCTATGAATTTTGAGCAGGCCCTGGGTGAAGTGTGACACTGAGAACAGCAAAGTGCCCGAGTCCAGGCATTTCTGAGAGCCAAGAGTGGGGTCTGGCAGCTCAGTGTTTTTTCACAAGCATCCTTTTCAGTGTCACCATTTGGCCTTGACCTCCTTCCCTTCCTCCTGTGGCTAATTTTGAAGTTCCATTAGTCAAACACTGATAAAAATGCTGAGCTCTGTATCTCTCTGCTGTCAGGTAATGGTTTTTTGCTATCTCCCTTTCCTTCCACTGCTGATTTCTGACTCGTTCATCCAGCTATTCTCTTTATTTTCTCAACCCTTGCATCAATGGGAGAACCTCTGTGAGAAAATGAGGACAGTAATTGTACATTGCCGTTATTTATCTAAAAATCCATTTTAAAACCTAAAAAGCCCCTGGAACTAGATATTTTCCTGTGAAGTGTGTTTGTTCTTTGGAAAATCCCCTCCATTGCTGAAGGTATGTCTCCTCTGACAGTCTGTGCCCGAGTTAAAGTGAGGACAGGAACTATGTTGAGCACCTTTATTCGTGTTGCTTATGCTCAGTTATTCCCAGTGGGCTGGAGGTAAAATGTTTTGAATGATGCTTTAAATTTCATTGAGGTCTGGTTGCAGCTGCCTGGGTTCATTTGGTGTCAAACAATATGAATCATTTTCTCCCATTTTTTTATATAAAATGACTTGCCCTTATGAAGAAATAAATATTTCCTTTTGGAAAAAAACCCCATATTTTGTTTTTTGTGGTCAATGGCTTTTCTTTTCCAGTCAGTGCTGACATGTGTCACTGCTGTCACAGCCTGGATGAACTTTGATACCAGAGTTTAGTTGGTTGGTTACGTTGCTTTCTGAAACAAGAGAAAAACAGAGGAAAACCAAGCCTGTCACTCTGTGGGCTGGCTTACAGTGAGTTAACAGAAGTACTGGAAATTCAAGGAGTGAAAGTAGATTTTTTGACTTCCATCATAAATTAAATATGAGTATAATTGCACCATTATTTCACTGTAGCAAGATTCTCAGAAAGTTGACGGGCTTGTTTATGAATAAAGCGTGAATAAAAGTTCCCATCATATTAGAAATGTGACATTTGAAACATACCATTTCCAAACTAAATGTGTCCATTTTATCTGTGTAGAAAATCCAGTCTGGCCCTTGCAAATGAAGTATCTGTGTGGTTGTTTTTGCACAGAGCATCAATCTTAACATGGTAAAATTCCAGCGTGAACCAATTCTGTCTAGTTAACATTCTTCTATGTTTTCCTGCAGAAAAAGGTTATTCTTGGTGTTCTCGCATTTAGACTTTAATAGTGATGCTATTTTAGCACCTGAGAATTGAATAGTGTGCTTTTAATACCTCAGAAAATTTGATCAGGTTTGCCTGTCATCTTGTGTAGAAACTCCCAGATCCAGTAAAGCAGCAGCATCAGTAAATCATCACATTTGGAGAGGTTCCCTTTATTAAAAATATTGCCTTTTGGGGCAGGACTATTTAGCCAAAATAAGGGATTTTATACTCCTAATATTGTACCAGAGATTTTTTTTGCTGGTTATTCCCTTGATGAAATTGCCTTTCTGCAGGAAAACAACAACAAAGGATGTAGAGCAGACTAGGTGGGTGATAATGAGTCCCAACTCATATATTTGACCCCAGAAGAGGTTTTTTCAGTGTTTCCCAAGTGCTGTTGGGATTTACAAGTGTTTGAGTACATCTTTATGGATGCATGAGAGTGTCTGTGACAACACAAAGGTGCAAAGCTGCAGAAAACTGGCCTTATAAATTTATTTTGCAGCTGATTCTTGAGCTACAACCTCTTAAACTTCACCCCTTTCATTTTGTAGAAGTACTTTTAGTTTGGCCTTTTCTGCTTGCCCGGGTAGGATATTAAAGCAAATATCACTGCACAGGGATTGTGTGGTGCTGTGCCCATCCCCTCCTGCAACAGGCAGAGCCTTTCAACCCACGTGTCGTTCCCAGACTGTGGCAGTGAGATGAAATCCCTGCAATGAGACAAATATGAAAGGGAAATATTTATTTTCTTCTCTTTGTTTTTTTGAATCAATGAACACTGGACACACACACATCCTTTTTCTCCTCACAGCTACATTTGTTCTGACAGTCGAGAATTTTCTCCATCTCTCATCCTGTTGAACAGCATATATTTAGTTGTTGGTTTGGTTTTTTAGTTTTTGGGGTTTTTTTCTGCCTTGAAAATTCCATTTATAGAGTGGCTGGCACAATTCTGCTTCCACTAATCACGATCCAGCTGAGCTGATGGCAAATTCACAAATCTTTAATGCACACTGGGAGGATACAGAATAAGGTGCTTGTAATGGGTTCTTGGTATCTCTTAACCCAAAGGAAACCTTGGTGATAAATACTGATTTTGTGTGAATTAGGGAAGAGAAGTGCATCCCTTGTCAGGGAAAGTGGCAGAAAATCAAAGCTTCTTACTGCAGTTCAGAGCCAATATCTTAATGTGGGATCTCATATTGCAATTTCTACTCACACATGTGATCATCTTTATTCCCATGGAGCATCTGATGGAAGCAAGAGTTGATATAATTGGATTCTCTTACCCTTCCTGTTCATGAATTTAATTGAAATTCTGGTCTTTTTAATAATTATTGAGAAATCAACCCTTTTCCCTCCCCCCTTATTGCTCTTCCTAATGTGAACATAATGTTCTTCATTTAAAAATTGAATTAAAAGAAAATCTTTCTGGAGCATGTCTGAGTTAATCAGCTAAAACTAACTTTCAAGCTGAGCAGAAGAAAATACTCTTCTGTTCAAGGGTAAAGCTATGTCCAGTGCTGAAGAATTAAGCAACTTAAAGGTTCTCAGTCAAGTGGAAGAATAAAGGGAAAGAAGATATTTGGGGGTTGGAATTAGATGATCCTTAATGTCCCTTCCAACCCTAACCATTCTATGATTCTATGACCTCAAAAATAGTGACTGTCTAACAGGACAGGACCTCTATAAACATTAAATTTAATTCCTGTTTTACTGTGCTTCTGTTTTCAAACTGAAGTCAGAGGCAGGACTGTCTCTGCTGAATGATGTGGTGAACAGCAAGTTGGGGTAGTGGAACGTCATGGGAATATTTCACGTTCAATGTGTTGTTGTAAAAACAGTGGGAAGGAAGAGGGAATAGGCATGTTTAGAGGGAAGAAGTAAGGAAAAGAGGATAAGGGAGAAAATGTAAATGCAAATCCTGTTAATTAACAGGAGCTGCACAGAAGGTCAGTGCTGCAGGAACATGTGCACGATTCGTGGGGCTCCTGCAGCGCTGGCTTCAGGTGATTGGAGCTCTGGGAGAAGTGAAGGAATTTCAGGAGGTGGCTGGGGAAGGGGAACAGCCCTGACACACTCACCTCACTCTGCAGGATCCTGGGTGGAATTGTTCTCCCTTCCCTTGTCACTCCCCTGCGGGATCTGAGCCTTTCAAACTGCACCTGGTGTGCCAAGCAGAGAGAAGGCAGAGGTGTTATTAAAGTAGTAAATGTGCAGTTTTCTTAAAGGCTTTTTATGTTGTCTGCAGCTGTGTAATTGCCAGCTTTCACGTAGGCTGAGAGGGCTGAGCCTCTGCTACGGAGCAGTTAAAATTCTTATTCAACAGAAGCTTCAAAAGACCCAGAAATACAGGTGAGAGCGGCGAGTGTCCACCAAGAGCCACCACAAATTACCCCTCAAAGTGGTTAGTCTCTTGTAATTATGAGAGCTCTCCTCATAGCTTTGTTTTAAAAGGCATCTAGGAATCTCCTAAATGGGCTTCATAGGGAAGGACAATGCTGCAAGATCAGCTCTTGGGCTTTTAATGCAATGATATATAATGTCACTCTGGGCTGTCTGTGCTGCTGAGGTGGAAGGGATGAGTGATGAGGAACTGCTGGGATACACTCCACGGAGCACAGCCTTCATCTGCAGTGGGGCATCAGTGGTGACACTACTTTTAAAAAGGCCAGAGATCAGGACACATAGAAATCAGCTGCTTTCCAAGCTGAGAAAAGCCACAGTCAGGGTATGAGTCTTTTTTTTTTTTTTTTAATGTCTGCATTCTTTCTCAGCCTCTTGTTCCTCATTTTGCTGCTCTTCTGCTTCCTCTAACTTGATTAAATGATTGGATTAAACAGGCCATGATTTTTAAAGCCTTCATTTTGTTCTGAGGATTCTCTTGCATTATGAAATTTGGAACAGAAAACCCCCCAAATACACTGACCTGTTAGGAAGAGGAATTATGGTATTACTGATGACAGAGAGTTGAACACTGCTACTTTTATCCTTGTGCAGCTCCTTCTGTGTTACCCTCCGTGATGTGCTTTGAAAATGTTGACAGTATTCCTCTAAAACAGCTAAACATTCTCCTCTTTTTCCTAAGATGGAGTGACTTGACTGAGGCCCTGAGTCAGCCAGGAAAAGGACCACTGCAATCCTTTTTTCTCAACCTGTAGTTTTAACCCCTCTTTCCATGGGCTTTGCCTGCCTGTCTCTTCTCGACAGCATACTTAAAGGTCTGCTTCTAAAATGCAGCTTCTTGGGGCTTTCTGTAGATATATTTTAATTAATACCTTTTTTCTTCTCAGTAAAGGGCCAGATTAAGACAGATTATGGAGTTTCTAGATGTCCTTTCTCATGCTTGAATATTTCTGAATTAAGAAGGCTGTTGGGAAGCAGAGGCAGTGTTATTCTGATGTTAAATTCTTCTCATCCTCCCGCATGATTTGGCATCTTTTCTGCCAAAAAAGAAGCTGTTTTTACCTCCTCAGCTGGTGCCCGTGTGTGTGTCTTTGTGCAGCCAGCTCAGGCAGCTGCAGTGGTCAGAGCACTCTGGAGGGTGCTGACATCTCTGCTCTGGAGAAAAGTGAATTCCTTGGCACCTCAGGCTTTGGGAAATATCTTGTCTGAAGTGGTATATGAGTGGTTTGCTCACAAAAACCTCCCTGGTTTAGGGGATGGTTGTATAGAGGTGGGCAATGAAGAGCAGCAGAGGTGAGATAAGACGAGGGACGGTGAATTCCTGGCCTGGAAAAAGTAAGCATTGCCCATGGGGAGATGCTGCCACAATCCACATTCCCCTGTAGCCTGGGAAGGGCCATAAAGGCATTGGTGAAGAGGTTGTCATGGTAGGATTGCTTCCTAAAACTCTGTTTCTTCTCTTTCTGTTGCTCTATCTGGGACATACCTGGGCTTTAGAGTGAAATGGATCCTGTTTCATATGTCATTGATGTATTTGGTTTTCTTTCCTTGTTCATTTTGAAGATGAAACCCAAAATTTGCATTTAGGGACAATTGTCGTGAGAACTTATGACATGGGTAAAAGTTGGGGGGTTATATACTTATATATTCATAAAGCTTTTGGGAAACAGAGGCAATATTAGTCCAGTCTCGTGTCTGTCCCATCTTCCTGCATGATTTGCCCCCTTTTCTTCCAAAAAAGAAGCTGCTTTTGGCTCCTCAGGTTGTGGCTCTATTTGTGTATTTGTACACAGCTGGGTTATATATATATTTGTACTTCTTTTTAATATATTTTAATATATTAATATATATGACATTTATTTTCAATATGTATTTGAAGCACTGGAAACATGTCTTCCTTTCATATATGCACTCCATTTGGAGGGCATTTCACTGTCTCCCTTAGAAGACATCCTTTCATCTCTTATGTTTTTCCTCATTTCTAAATGAAGTCCTTTCTGTTGGTGCTTCTAAATGTACTGCTAATTCCTGACTGGGTGCTATGCCATTCATTATTTTTTGCTTTTTAAACTGCTGTGCAGACAAGGACAAAGCTTTCCTCACCTCCCATGCCACAGGTAGAGACACTGAAGTTGCTCAAGTGACTGGTCAAAAGCCAAAGAAGGAGTCTGGCTGAAATGTTTGTGCTCAGAGCTCCCAGAGAGATCAAACCCTTGTTACACTGCATGTTGCTGAATTCACACTGAGATGTGGAGCAGAACTGTGTGTGGAATTGTCTGCAGAAAAGTGTCAGTAGTAAATTACATTGCTTGTGTAATTCTTGTGTATCATATTAAAGGGTCAGAGAACGAAGTGCTTAGTCAGGAAAAGTCCCGATTTCCTGGAATTTTGCCTGACAAACAGACTGAGAGAGGGTCACGGGACAGGGCTTGGCAGCATGCTTGATTTCTACTGGGCAAATGAATGTGACACAGTGGGAGCTGAGCTGGATTCCTCTGCAGCATGCAAATGTCATTCATCAGAGGAACAAAAAGCCACAGCACTGACTAATTTGAAACATCCTGCCCAGTGGCCCTGTGGTGCACCAAGGAATGGAACTGGTGCTGGCACATAATGGCTGTGATGAATATTGTATTTAATATTTGACTTGCTGAGCTTTTCAGGAATTCAGTCTGTACAGGGATGATGATGCAGACGAAGCATCATCAGATCTATACTGATTTATCCAGTTCAGTTGGGCAGATGGAAAGGTACAGTTCTAGGAGAGGTGAACTTAGACTACTCCGAAGTAACAAGATATGTATCAACAGCATTTGGGTCTTCTTGGGTTTATAGACCACATTTGAGTCTTGAGCAGCAGTGGAATTGTTGATAGTGCTGAAGATGCAGAAATCAGCAATGCTGCACCTCATCCTACACCCTCCCCAGACTGGAGTCTTTTTGGCATATGACTCATTCAAGAGTCCTGAACATTCAATCTCCTTTGAACTTATATTTGCTTTTATATCTTCTAATCGTAAATCCAACTTTCATCTCTGAAATATGTGGCTTCTTTCTCATCCTGCTTCTTGGTCAAGTGAAAATTGCTGTTCCTGAATCTGGGCTACCAAGTGAGTGACCTCTCCTGGAGGGTGATTCAGACTCCTGTCCTTGCTAAACTTCATTATACTGATTGTCGTCTGGATGGGATCCAGTTGACTCTTGTAGTGCTTGTTGTTGGCGCTGCTTGGCTTTAGATTACATGGTATTTGAAAATTAAGAAGCATGGCCAAATAAAAAGAATTCCAGTTTTTAAATAAAACAAAATGTCTTCTGAAACCCAAGACCTCAGGACCTTCTCATGCATTTGCTGGGTGCTCCGAGTGCCTTCGCTTGCTTCTCTCTCATTTTTTAAAAATGTTCTTTTTGGATTTTAGGTGCAGAATTATTCATCCAACAATTATGTATATGCTGATCTATTTTGTCCCATTCAAATGCCAACACAAATGACTAGTTGGTTCCTTGATTTGCGAGTAGCACATGAGGTAACCCTTTCTCTTATCTCCTGCCAAAGGGAGTTTGTTTTCAAGAGTGTTTTTCAGACCAGGCCTCAGGTGCTGTATAGTGAAGGAAGATTTACAAGTATTGCCTGAAATGTTCATGTTCATTGTGCATTTTTGGGGACCACGGGATCCAGCTGGATTTGTGCAGTTATGGAGCTGTGTGTTGAATACTCACTCAGCTCCCCCAGCACCATCCAGGCACAGGCTGGCCCAGCTAAGTTGGGTTTGAGTTCCCTCTATAGACCATGCAGGGAAGTTAAGTCTCCATAGGGTGATCGTGATCCATCTGCCTGTCTTGGGAAAAGATGAATTACCCTTTCAAAGTGCTGATTTTCCTTTTTGGAATGCAGAGGGAGTTCAGGCTCACTGCCAGCCCGGGATTAGATGTCTGACTTGGTGGTAAGATGTGGCCAGGCCTTTACTCCCTGAAGTTGAGGCTCCTGTAAAAAGTGCCCAAATCACTTTATTCTCAACTCTGCTGGAGGAAGAGAGTGAAAAGAGAGAGCGGGGGGAAAACAACCAACCCAACAAACAAACTCAAAACCCCAATATGTGCATGAGTCAAATCAAGGCTTCTGCTCCACTGCAGAGGGATAATAGTCTGTAAGATGGAAAGCCTGTCTGGGACTGGCAGTTAAATGTGTGTTGATGGATATAAAGTGCTCATAGATTCTATGAGGTGGTCTGGGCAAACTGACAAAGAAGTTTCTAATGATGAAACAAATTGTTTCTCATTTTGGAAATCCTGTTTTACACTGCTAAATCTGATGATATGACAGAACAGATACATTTCTGAGGGGATTTTTGAAGCCTGTGGATCTGAATGGAAAGGACACCTCAGTCTCTCTTCTTTTGAGCTACTTCCAATAGCTGAGGATTTGTCTTGGTATAATTCCTTGTGTTTTCTGGGGAGCAGCTGGAACTGAGCATATCTGGCTAAAAGGGGTTGCAAACGAGATAAGGACTGGGCCACCCTAGTCCTCAGCAGGGTGTCCCTGCTCCCAGGCACCTACTTGGTGTCCTAAGGACAGGCAGAGGCAGGAGCCCATCAGTCCCTCTCCAGTCTCCTGTCAGAGCAGCCTGAGGGAAGACTGGAAAGAACAACCCTAACACGTCCTGGTGCTGTAGTACTGAACCCAGACCTTACCAAAACCTTTAAACACAGACAAGCCCCTTCTAATTTACAAATGCTTTTGTCAGAAAATCATGGGTTTTAGGAAAGGTCACTCTCTGAACTTCAGAAGTTGTGATTAATCCTGTTATAAGCAACATCCAACAGTTTTCTCTTTACCCTGAGGTACTGACATCCCCAAGGGAGGGGAAGGGGACTGGTGAGACAGACAAACAGCTCCTTCTTTTCACGTCAAGTGTTTCTGAAAGTGCTTCCTCTAAGTTGTCACAACCAATAACCCTAAAGCCTCAGCTCCTGTGAGCAGCCCTGCACAGTCCTTCATGTCCTAGACAGGGTTGGGAGTCCCTGAGGGCCTGTTCTTTTGGCAGGGTGTTACTGGCCACGGCAGCCCAGGGGAGGGAGGGAGGGCAGGGGCTCTGTAGGACACAAGCTTGGCTTTGGGCTGCTGGCTTTTAGGCTCATTTTCAAATATGAGGGATCAGGAAAATGGCAAAATATATAGAACTGGTTCTTGCCAGAGCGCAGACTGTAACTTTGTGTAATCCAATACTCTCCAGGGCCTGGGTTTGAATAAAATAAGGACTGATGACTCATCCCTTCATCTTAAACTCCAAATGAACCTAAGCATGGAATTAAAACATGAGTAGCTTTTTCCCCTACTTTAATTATTTCCACATTTCTCTGTAAATCCCGATTCCTACCCAGGCTGGAAGTGAAGATTCTCTGAACACAGTAAAACCTGTGCTCTCAATGCATCTGGAAGCAGAAAATTTATACAACTCAATAAAGTCTGTCCCCAGGAAGATTCTCTAGGTGCTGGTGTCCATTCTCCTCTTCCATTTAGGAAATATTTAAACCTTAAAGTGCTTAAAAGTTGTTTTTTATAAGGACTGGATCATTTAGTGCCCCTGTTCTAAACAAATAAAGGAAAAGTATTTCTTTCAATTCACACATATATGATATGACTGTGGAAATGCAGCTGGAGGGACCTCAAGCAGCACATTAATTGTGAGTGTTCCAGAGCAGAGCTCCCACCAGAGCTGTGCTCAGTAGCTCCATCCTGTAATGGACCTTCATTAATCCTGGGACTTGCTGGAAAAATAAGAGTATTTGAAGTCCAAGCTTTTCAGAAGTACCTGGATTTCCATGGGTTTGAAATCTCCATCCTCACGACACAAGTTTGTCTCTGGATTGAGTTCAATGTGAAAAATGCAATTCCAGACCACTGCAAGTCATTGCTGCTTTGGAAAGGTTACAGCCACAATAGGGCAGTCTTCAGAAAAGCAGGATGAAAACTCCAGGCATTGGGGAAATTTTTGGAAGTGTTTGTTGTGGTCTGTGGTAGGAGTACATTGCATTGTGCACAGGAACAGGTCTGTCTAATACAAGATCTTGTGTAGTAGGTTACCAGAAATGTAGTCACTTTAAATTTGATCTATAAAAGCAATAAAATACTGCTTTAGGGATATTTTATAATTTCAAATCAGGGATATAATGCATGAATGCTGACATAGAATGGATTTATCACAGTATTTCTTGTAGTGTTGTGTTGGAAAGTACATGATTTAGCTCCTGGTAAACCCTGTGAAGACAGACAGCAGGAGGCTGTCGTGGATTTTGTATCAAATCTTCAAGAAAGAAAAAAAAATTTTAAACTTTCTCTACCTCTTCTTTAACCTGGGTACTCTTCTGTTTACCTGAAAGCCTAGTGAAGGTTTTACTGATTACACTTGTCATTTTGCTGGTCAAATCCCAGTTTCAGATTGTGTGTTATGTTTTGGAGTTCTTTTTGTTTTAGAAAATGTTGATGAGGGCAATTCAAAAATATTGCTTTGCTGATTTCTGTTGATATCTTGCAGGCTTAATGAATTGCTTTCTGTTTCAATGGGTTTTCCAAACCTACTTGAGATTGACAGGTTATGATAATCAGTGCTTTTGTAGTTAAAATGCATAAAGGGAGCCACTAAAACCATGTGGATTATTATACCTGATGTTATTAGAAGCTGATCAGGATTTGCCCATCATTTTTAATAATGTAGAGCTGCAAAAATCTCCAATCCCATCTCAAGAGTTATTCAAGCAATATTTCTTCTGATTTCATCAACTCTATTTTCTTGATGAGTTTTGATTAAGGGACTTGGGGATTAACTGTAGTGATTGCAGGAGTGGAAGTGTTACATGAGTACTGTGTTTTTTCTGGTCTGCTCCCTCTCATACCTTGATAGGCTGTGCATGTGTTAATACTGCAGCTGGGATTTGTCTTTCATAACTATTTGGAATTAAATGAGGTTTGCTGTGAATGGGAACCATCCATGCAGTTGCTGAGTACAGTGTAATCTCCTTCTGAGGGTGATTAGTCTGACAGCACAGTTTTACTGGCTGCCCATTCTTGACCTCCTTGCTTTGCCAGTGGTGCTCAGAGCCTGAACATCCTCCTGTCCCAAATTCCCAGCTCCATGACATCCTGGATGGGGATTCAGATGTGTCTAAAGACATTGCCAACGAGTATTGGTGCCTAATGGTGAACTCTTGCCTTTCTCCACACACTTCTCATACCCCTCCCATTATGAACATGCCATAGGGTGCAACCACATCCTTCTCTAGGCAATTCTTTCATCCCCAAATTACCTTGGCCCTGCTGCTTTTCTGTATAACTTGTGAATTTTTGCCTGCACACTCTATTCTACTGTAAGATTTATACTAGAACCTTTTCCTCTGCAATTCCCTTCCACTGAAATGCCTTCCTGGTACTACTTTTGATTCCAAATCTCATCTGAAAATCTCTTTTATTACCTGTTTAATTTCCTTTTTTCCTTTCTCACTCTCACATTCTTTTGCTACCATTATGCTGACTTTGTAATTCTGTTATTTAAGAGTAAAGAACATTTCAGGTAGAATTTTATGAAAGGCATTCCTTGGCATGCCTATAAAAAAAAGCAGCTTCCAAACAAGATGTGTATATGATATGGCATAGCAAAGATTACACTGCATCTAGATTTAAATTAAGATTATGAACATCAAAATGAACAAGAGCCAGAAAGTGCCAGAGGGAAAGAATGGAAACCCAGCACTGAAAGTGTGAAGGCTATACTGAGAGCAAAACTTTATCCCTGTGAACATATTTGTTATTTCTCCTCTGGTGTTGCCCAATTTAATAAAATCTTGGAGAACTTTCAACCCAGCACAACTCCTGATTTTTAATGAAAAATAATGAAAGAGATCAGAGATCTGTGTGCTTGCAATCTCTTTCATAAAGTGAACATTTTCTGTACATCAGAAACTGTGCCTGCATAAAAATGCCTGTGAAAGGTGATTTTTAAAGAAATCCCCATAATGTTTATTCTCGTTTTATTGGGTGCTAAATCTAATACTCCTTGTATGCTTTTGGAGTCATGTTTACACTGGAAAACAGGGGTTGTCAAGGCATCTGTCTTCATTTTCTGACTACTGTTGACTTGCTGTTCCCCTGTTAGAAGAGCATGACCTGCCTGTGCCTGTGGTTTGTGTCTCTGCAGCACTGAGGTGCTGCTCAGGTGTCACACGGGGTGCTCAGGTCTAGGAAGCACCTTGAGCTCCACAGAATTCAGATGAGCCCATGGCACGAAGCTCCTGGTGTCTCTTTAAATGCCTCCTGATTTGAAGAAGAGAGGGAAGCCAGACTGCCATGTAAAAATGTGTATAAACATATTTTTCTCACTTGCAGATTGGGAAAAGCAGTGTTTGTTTAGTCCTCACTGCCCCATTGGTGTCACTGAGTGATGCCCCTGGGAAGAGTCCTGCCTGTTCCTACTGAAACTTCCCTGCTGCACCCTGGGCTCCATGAAGCCCCAGGATGCTTCCTTCCCTTCCTATTCCTGGGGCTGTGAGCTATCCCTGTGCCCCCACACACATCACAGCCTTGCCTCAGCTGCTGTGCAGCAGATCTGTCCACGTGTGCTGAGAAGCACCGGAGACACTGCCCTGAAATGGTCAGAGAAGGGTTTGAGATGGGCCCTACGCAGCGTTCCCGTGCTCCCCACTCCCAGACCCGGCACTTCCGACAGCTCCGACGTCCCCAGGGGCAGCTGCAATGTGAAAGTGGCTCTTTCCTGACAGCTCCCTAATATGTACAGAAAATTTGTCTTGTGAAATCTTACCGTGGTTGTAGACTTAAAAATACACGTTGAGTCAACTGATCTGAGCGTAGGCTGAGCTCCTGAGCCTCCAGGAGATGCTGCTCTGTACAGGCATTCAAACTTTGCTGTTTGGGGGGACTTCCTCAACCCATGGAGGGTCCTGCACAGAGGAAAAGGTTCATTGGGAAACGTGACTTCCATGATGAACCATCTCCCAGAATGTGTCTCTGCTCTTTCCTGTCCATACCCAAAACCCCTGGAACGCTGGGGGTGAGTCCCCAGCCCTGTTGGAGCCTTTAACTTCATTATCTTCATGGAGAAGGACACTTAGATGTTTTAGTAACAACAAAATAGATGTTAGAGACCCTGTTTTATCTCCTCCAGGACCCAGGAGGGTGTGTGTATCCTCACCAGTGTGATGACTCCTGGAACAAGATGTTATTCCAAGTGAGGAGGCTCAGACCTCCCATCATTTACGCTGTCTGGTATCATGGCTGGCCATCAAGTTTAATGGAAGTGCTTGGCATCCTCCTAAATAAAATATTAAACCTTAAGGCTGAGAGGCAGAAGCACACAAGTGATGTATGAAAATGCTGGTTGCCAATTGCCATGTTCCAGGTGTGATTCCTGAGGATGCTGCCTGGGAACCATTTATATCCAACTGTAGCAAACCTAAACAGAATGACACAGTTTATTAAGCCAGAGGCAAATGTAAATGATGAAAGGCTGCTGTGTAAAACTGCATTAAACGTGTCCCATTACATGAGGCAAACCACATTGTGTAGCTGTTTTAACATAATGCTCCTTTCATTCAGCTAATGCCTTGGTGATTTAAATTTCTATATTTTATGAGATAGGAAAATAATAAAATATTAATTGCACTGGTGTGTGCTAACATTCTGTTATCAACACAAAAAAAAGAGATAAAGTTATGTCACCGGGAGGAATGTAGACCTCTAAATATCTATTGTCAGGAAGGGAGAATCAGCCCTACCTGAAAGTGTGATGTTATAAACAGAGAAATGTGAGAAATGCTCAGAGTCCTTTGGTTTTCAGCAGAGTAGTTTCATTCTTCTGGCATTTAAGAGTTATTGAAAATACTTTGCAGAGAGAATTCATCTCTCCTTACACAGGAATTTAAGCACATTTAACAACTTCCTGGGCTTCCACTGGTGTCACCTGAAGGTGAAGGCTCAGCTTTGTTCTCCAAACGTGACTTTCTTAGATAGATTTTTTTTTTTCCTAGTTCGTAGAGATCTGACAATTTGGGATCAGATTTTTTCAAAATTTAGTGCCCAGCTCTGAATGCAGAGAGATTCCTCTAGTGTGGATGGGCCACAGCCAGGCATCCACTTTGGTGCCCGTGGGCCTGGTTTGGGTGGGATTCATGGCCTTCTGGAATCACCATGAGAGGGACCAGGGCTGGTTGAGCTTTGCTACTGCCTTGCTCTCTCCCTGCAGGCAGTTGGATGTGCTGTTGCAGGGAGCAGAGCAGTCCTGTGCCATTGCCTCGCTTGTCATGCAATCTGAATTTCGATTATTAGAAGAGGCAGAGGAAGAGAAACCTCTAAGAGCATGAAGGAAACAGTAGGTGGGTTTGTTCTGACTTGCTGCTTAAAAACAGAGTTGGGAAGGAAATCGATTTCCAGTCCTGAAAAAATATTTTCGCTGTGGCTTAAAAAAATATTTGAGCTGTGCTGGAGGTGAGGCTAAAATCCCTCCAAAGCCTTGAGGAAGGCCCACCTGCTCTTCCCAGAGCATGGGCACTCCTCTAGGTTGATCTAGAGAGAAAAGGAATCTAAATCTGTGTCCAGACACCCCTGGCCTGCAGAGCAAACATTTCCCACACCTTATATTATCTGAAAGTCCTCCCAGGGTATAAAATGTTTCCAGGTGATACCTTTACAAAAATTGATACATTGTTCTGGTTTTTTTTTTGAGAAACTGGCATTTTCTGAGGGTTGGGTTTTTTCCCAAATGGACTGAAGACAATCAAATTCTGTTGTCATGCCAGAGGAGAGAGACTCATTTTGAAGAAGGATATATTATTTGTGCAGTGAAAAGTATTCCCATCTATTCTACACTATTTATGGTACTCTCATATCCTGGTTCTTGTTAGTGGAAACCATCAGCCAGTTCCAGTGATAAACTACTGATCTCCAAACATACCCAGTGCACAGCAAAAGCTGCATAGAACATAACTCACAGCACCAATTAAAAATATTTACAGCACTATACTTCCTATACAAAGTTTAAACATAGCCTTTTCATCTTTTTAGAGTTCTGTTTTGCACAAATTTGATTACAATTTGTAATTCACAAAGGTGGGCAATAGTAATGTTGGCCAGAAGGGATTTGGAGGCACCACACGTCAGCACGGTTCATTTGTCCAAATCTGTTCTTACTCCACACTCTTATTTTGGGGTCTTTGGTAAGTATCACAGAATCATGGAATCTTCTGAGCTGGAAGGGACCCACAAGGATCATCCAGTCCAACTCCTGGTCCTGCACAGGACACCCCAACAATCCCACCCTGTCCCTGAGAGCGTTGTCCAAACACTCCTGGAGCTCTGGCAGCCTTGGGGCCGTGACGACTCCCTGGGAGCCTGTTCAGTGTCCGACCACCCTCTGGGTGAAGGACCTTTTCCTGATATCTTAGTACAGGCTGTCAGTGTATGAAGGACCTGTGCCACCTGGCAACACACCTCCTGGCTATCAGGGTCACATTGCTTTCTTCATGCACGAGGCAGGATGTTATTTAGAGTCCAGGACTGGTAGAGGGGAGAATGGAGGAAAAGAGGGTTCATCCATCTCCCCCTTTTGTGGGAAACTCTACTGCATCTTGTGACAAAAAGTCTCCTCAAGAGAATTGTCTCAGAAATGGAGGAATTCAGTGCATCACAGCCTTAATGACCACTACAACCATGGTCCTTTTAAGGACCTAAAGAAGCTGTCTTTCTCTTTTAAGTAATTGCACTTTAACCCAGTGTAGAACACTGACTTGTCCTTCCATCAGCTGGTCCCTCTCACTCTGCCAGTCCCACACGTGGGGATCTCCTTCATGGCTATGCAGAACCTCTCCTGGCACCTGCCTCGCTTGGCTCCATGGGCTGGGGAGCATCCCAGCAGAGAGACAGGGATACCAGCTCAGGGGGAACTCTGCTGCCTCTGTGACTTCCTTGCTGTCTTCACCCGTGAGATGTCGAAGGGTTCCAGGAGATGTTACTCTTGAAGAAATTTTCAGAAGCTGATTTTGCTCAGCTTCTCTTTCAGGGAGTATTTTTATGCACCTCCCATTATAGTCATTAGACTTGTGTGGCTGTTCAACCCCTACATGCTCCACATTTGTGTTTTCCTCCTACCTTTTTAAAAATAGACATTTCAGTGTTCTGCAGCATCACATTTGTTGCTGTGGAGACGATTGTGATGTTGCCAATGGAGATATGATTTCACTGACAACCTCTGAAGAAGGACAGGAACATGAAGACTGTGGCTCTATTTCTCTCCTGCCCCTTTCCTAATAAACCTGTTCTGCAATTCCCTCTTCCCCATGCTGCTCTATGCTGCATCCTGAACTTGAGCTGATGTACAAATCTATCTTCTTTCTTAACCTGCATTTTTGCATAAATATATAAATGCAGTGGATGCAAATTGCCTATAATTAGAGGTAGAACTCAGCACTGGTGTAATAATTTGTGTATTCCTGCGACACTCTTCGTAAAACTTCACCAACACCCTTTTGGGCTGTAACTCTGTAGGAATAATCCACCAAAGGTACAAGCACAGAGAAATTGTCTAATATTCAGGGAAAATGAAAGTAATTTCCTAGTTCTTTGCGTGGGCAATTCCAAAGCAAAGTGACAGGTTGGAGGGAGGGAGGGAAAGGGAAAAGGGACGGGAAGAGTGACAGGCCATTATTGCTCCTGCTGCTCGTGCTGAACGTCTGGCAAAAATATAAACGTCGTTCCCCAACCTGCTGATACCCCATGGTGTGTCTAATGAGGACTGGTGGGCTTGTGAGAACAGGATTGACCTGAAGGAGGAAAGAAAGCCAGGAGAGAGATGAGGATTTGGATCGGTGGGGTGCAGGAGGGTGTGGGCAGGGCCGTGTGGGTGGTTCTGCGGGACCCCAGGGGCAAGTTCCCTCCTGCCATGGAAAGATTTGTGCTCTGGTGATGCTGGAATATAGTGCCATGGTCAACATCAAATTAAAGTTCCCTGAGAAGAAAAATCCAGCTCCACTATGTAGTTTTTTTGTTAGTACAAAGGTTTGCAGAAAATTCCCAAAGCACCTAAACAAATGAGCTGTGTTTGCCACCGGGGAAAGGAGCGCGTTGGGAATACAGTGGTATTTCTTCCTGGCAGCCTGAGATCTGCCTCAGGAGTGGTTTGTACTGGATGGTAATTGAGTTTCAGCTGATTGCAGCAAAACCATGAATCAACTGCAGCCCATTTTTAATAATGAAGAACTGAAATATAATCAAAAATATATTCACAGTGCTATAGCTTTCAGTGATTATATGCAGCAACTGGTGCCTGCAGCCTCTTTGGACTCAGATTCTCTCTCTTGCCTTTTTATTTTTTTTGGCTTAAGGATTAGAAAAAAATCCAATATTCAGAGCAGTTGATTTGGCAATAGATGGCAGAGAATGCAATCATTAATAGTGCTCTTTTCTGTGCTCCAGTTATTTCCGATGCCCTGTTGCAGGGGAGCTCCTCTCCCCACTCCTGCCTCAGGCCAAAGTACTCAGCAGGCAGCAGAATTTGGCTAGCCATGGTGAGCTCTTGAAATCACTTGTGAAAATGGTGCAGTAACCTTGAGTGCTGACAACAGAAGACTGTATTTTGCCTCTCTGGAATACAGGAAGATAACGTGTGGCATTAACAGAAGGATAAGTTACTATGGTGATGAAGTCTATATAACAGATGGAAATAAATATATGTATAATGCCTTTTAGGTATGATCTGACAAGAAAATTGTGACCTGTTTCCATGGGACTTGGTGGAGCATTGGAGCGTGTTAACACTGATACTTCTGCAAGTTGGAAGTGATGGATGAGAGACCTTGTTTTCTGTCAGAAAAGCGCTGCAAGGTGTCTGTGCTGCAGCAGCACCTACTGAATCTCAAATTTCTCCCATATTAGCTGCAGGCCTTT